CTTTTTTCTCCCAATCTCTCAGGTTTTGTAAGGTTTCCAATGTCTTCAGATCTTTTCTGTGTGATGTATGGGCGCGAGTGCAAGTACGGAGCTCCTTACTTCTCCGCCATCTTGCCCTCTCTCCTGTTCTTCTGGAATCTTTAAACCCAGTGACTATAAGTGATCCTATGTGGCAGAATGAGTTTGTCACTGACAGCTCCAGTTGTTTTTAATCCACGGATGCCAGGAATAAGTCCCCAGCCTTTGTTTTGACTTCTTTGTTTTGTGTTGTCGGTGTTGCTTTCTGAGGTGATCGTGGAACAGCCCCTCCTGAACAAAAAGCTGTAGTAAATGTTTGAGACCAGAAAACCAGGTGTTATTCAGTTTCCAGGCAGGACCTCGTCTGAAACCGAAGACATGCTTTGATAGAAAGATAAAGAGGTAGTTGACAAATAAATAAAAACCTGATGAACATAAAAGGCGAACCACCTTCTTTAAATAAACACAACATATATCTCGGTCTCCCAACCAAATTCCAAGTACCTGGCCAAAATTTGGAATCAGTGTGGTGGGGTGTGTGTGCACGCACGCGCATGCGAGTGCACGCATGCATGCCTGTGTATACACGCTTGCCTGTACAGTGCACTAGAACTCACCCTGACAGTTCCTCTTCCAACCACGCTGTCAGGCTCTCAATAGTTCCCTCCATTCAAAGGAAGAACCCCTCAAAACCAAGGAAGACATTGTCTTCTGGTGCCGCTTCCAAGGATTTAATACCAGGTGAGATCTTACAAACCTACGTAGTGCAAAATTCTAGATGTGAAAATCGAAAGTCAAAAACGTGAAGTGCCTACTTCCATCCCACGTGGCCAGAAAGAGGTAGGGCAATCTTTCCTAAGTCAAGGAGGATGCTGAACCAGATCCTCCTAGCCATGTGGCCCATGCGGAGAGATGGTGCACCCCTAATATTCCAAGAATCAGATTCTATTTTATGTCCTGGTGTGACACATGTGCTAGGCCCACAGTGTGACAAGGCAGCAGACGTGAAAGCCCAGCAGGGGCACGTGTTACAGAGTCTAATTACTCATCTACATCTCCACTGTTAACCTCCTGGCCCAATCAGTTAATTGTTGCTACTTGTTTATTCATCTGTAAAAAGAGGGAATAATATCACCGACTCGCTTCAAAGAGTCTAGAGATGGAATAATGAAGAGTGAGAATGGCGTAGTAATTGAACTATAAGCGAATAAATCATTATTTGACAATTGGGGATAACAAAAATATGTGCCATTTGGCTTATAATAACTCTGTTCTTAGCTTTAAAACCCTGACCTTCAAACCAAACAATATTGCATTTTAACACTAGAAAATATTAAATTTTTTGTTTTGTTTCTTATTAATAATATTTTGAGCACATACTTCTTATCTTTAACGCACATATACTAAGGAAATGCCTATTGAATTCCTAGTGGCTTACAGTAACACCATGCGAGGAGACCCTCTCAACCTCCCCATTAAGTAAATCCCCTTCAGATGATATGAACAAGATATTTCAGTAAATGTCTCCCCAAAATTACAGACCTGGGATAGCTTTGCAAACTCTGTGGTCTGAAGGTGTCTGATATGTATTCTCTCTGATATTTACATTACTTCCTCACAAGGTCACTGCCTCAAGCTACAGTGATAGTCTCGATCTCAGGGTTATAGTTCACTTGTAGATTTCCTATGACTCTACCAAATGCTAAAGTAGCATTTGAATGGTCCATTAGTATGAACAAATTCTTCAAAACATAACTTATGGTTTTAATTTCGGTAAATATATGTTAGCACCCACTGTATACCAGGCATCCTGTTAGGTAGATTGACTTTCAATTCATGAGACATCCCTAAATGAGAGAGGTTTTTAAAATAAGGGAACCATAATGTCTTTTCTATTTACACCACTATTATTATTCGATTATTCACATATTGTAATCTCCTCGAATGGATCATTAGCCACCTACAGTTTTACATTTGCTCTCGGGGAAAAATTTTATTAAAATGGATATTTTATAAATTGAAGTTAGTAGGAAAGTTGTAGGTCCTAAGTGGTTGAACTTATAGAATCCTGGCATAATTAGATATGAATAAAAGATTTGGTGGGTTACATTTTGATTTCTGACAGAAACCATGATACTGCTTTAAGAAAATATTGGCCAAAACCATGTCAAAGAGTGGCATGAGGGAAACTGACCCAGCTCAAGGACAATTTGGGGCATTGTGTCCAAAAGCCACTCCCCCCCCCCACCCACACACACACAAAAAAACAGGGCAGCATTATACTTCTATTCAATTGATCCATTCACAGGAGTCTATTTATCGCTGGGAGCATGTGGAACAGAATCAGCTACCTCTCCTGGAAATGTCACTCATAGTCCCAGAGGTGAGGGCTGGAATCAGGCTCTGAGCCCTAGGCAGGAAAAGGAAGACAAAATCGCCGCTCATGGATCATATCAAATGAGCAAGAGCTGAAGAGTAGGGGCAATGGTGAGCATTGGCTGATGGCCATCAGAGTGTCCAGAGCTTACCCTAATAACAGTAAGTGGGTTTTTGAGGCATCATGTGATAAGATTCCAGATCCTAATTATTTTTTTAGCAGAGTTCCTCTTTAGGCTCATCATGCAGTTCCTGGCCTACTTTTGCGGGATGTAGTACCAATGACAACTTATTTATTACAGCCTATGCATTCCTATTCTAGTCTGCTTTGTTTGTGGACTGCTCAGAGGCCCATATGAAAACTTGGGCAGTATTCTATACTGTATTTCTATCTCAAACTTTTTGTACTAATTCTGAGAATTTAAAAAAATTTTTTAACATTTATTCATTTTATTGAGAGACAGAGAGGGACAGTATGAGTGGGGGAAGGACACAGAGAGAGGGAGACACAGAATTCAAAGCAGGCTCCAGGCTCTGCACTGTCAGCACAGAGCCCGACGCAGGGCTTGAACTCACAAATAGTTAGACCATGCCTTGAGCCGAAGTCAGACGCTTAACCGACTGAGCCACCCCGGCGCCCCAGCACTGCTAATTCTCATCAGTTTTGTGCCCATAAAAAGGCAAGGAATTTCTTTCTCCAGTTCCCTCCTCTCTGAAATCCACCCTTCTCTCTGTAAATTGGTAGGGGAGGAAAGCAGCTTGGGGTAAGAATCTAGGAGGTCAGGTTTCCCCCCACCCCCAGTCTCTGCTGAGACCACCCTGGCTGTCAAGTGCTATTCCCAGGGGAAATTGGAAATCCAGGCTTTCCAGTCAGTCTCTTCCAGCACCGCAGGGGATATGTTCCCTTCCATCATGTTTGACGGTAGTAAGGTGGGCTTTGTCAAAAACATCGCCACCCTGCTGGACCACCCATTTTCTGGTTCTGTAGCTAGAGAGAGCAGCCTTTTGGGAGATTTTTTTGGCTTGTGTCTTTTGGGACTTCCAAATCCGGGCCTTCTCCAGCACCTGGCCTGGGATGTATGGGAGAAAAAAAAAAAAGTGTGGGGAACTCATCCCACATTGTTAAAGTCCCAAGGTCCTAGTTAGTAGGCCCTCTTCATTCCCCCTTTCAGAGTCTTCTTAGGCTTGTCTGTTGTATTATGTCCAAGGATGTTATAATTATACTTAACCAGAGATAGAGCAAGAAATGAGTCTTCTCTGTCTTATCCAAGACCAGCTGTCTCAGTTCAATAACATTATTTGTTATAATCATTAGCAAAACTGATTCTTGCCTGTGGCTGTACTCCTGGGAACCTGAACTAATGTAAGTTCAGACCAAGACCATTTGGCTGGCAGAATCTTAGGAATGTTACTGACTCCATGGGGGAAGCATACTGTCTTTGATGGCTAAAAGTTTTCTCAATTCCAAAGACAGTCATCTCCAAAATTCCTTCCCACTATTCCACTTGGCCACAAGGGACCTGCAACAGCATCCAAAATTTGGGAGCATGTCTGTTTCAAAGGGTGTTTTTCATGGAAAGAACAAAATACAGGCATTGTAATAACGTGTGCTGTTCAAAGTAGTCCTGCTTTGGAAAACAAAGATGGGAAGAAACACATCAGAATTGAACATCTCTGTCTCTTTCTGAGACTGATTATGATTAATATCAGGTTTCTGCGTGAATAATGGTAGTACAGCTTAATAGATAATAACACAGTAAAACCCACCATAATTCTCTAAGTGAGGCCCACAAAAGTCAAGGTCACACTGTAGTACCATGAATGAAATGACAAGGGTGTGCCTACTCTGAGAAACTGCCAATCTTGTATTCAAAATTTGCAAAATGAGCCTCATCACCCACTGCAGGGATTTCACCACAGCTACCACTTAATCTAACGCTGATCTCATGTCAAGATTTACACAATGGGCTTTACCCTCAATGGAAGATTTCATTATTTTCCTTCTGTAAATGAAGAAATTAGGATCCAAGGGAGTTAAGAAATTTTCCCAACATCAAAAGACTCAATATGGCAATGTAAGGAAAGGGAAGGAGAGAAACTGGTTTCCAAATACTTGCCTTTTGTCAGTATTCTACCTTTCCCTCAGGAACCGTAGTCTGAGGCCTAATTCCGGCTGCATGTCCTGGTGAGATTAGTTTGTAATATAGTCTCTGAGTTGGCTCATCCCGGATGAGTCTGATCCCATGAGTGGAAGTGATTCCAGCTTGGAGGATAAGGGAGAGAATGGGGCTTGGCAGACTCAGCAGCAGAAAAAGACCCTGGAATATTCTTCGTTGTGTGTAATGACTGCCATGAACTAGCTTACCTGAAATTCATCACGGCTTAATTTTTTTTTGAACAAACTAATGTTTATTAAAGTATGTGTGAGGCATTCTCAGAGAGGTAGGGCCCCACAACCCTCTTATAGATCTCAATGGAATCAAACAACTCTTGGTCATAAGGTAGGATAATGTTGTTAGGTCCTGGAATTCAATAAAATGTTTTTAACTTAATTTGGCATAGTTGCCTCTTATCCTGGCTCCCTTTCACACGGTGAGGCAAAACACAACAACTGGCTATAATCTGAATAAAGGCAGGCAAGCTGTTAGCACAGGGAGAAACACCGTGCTTTGGCAGGCTGTCTGCTCATGGCATAAGGAAAGTCTGTGGCAAGGAGTAGGCTGCCTGGTAGCAACAGAGCAATATAGAAGGAGCTGAGATTGGCACATCCAGTCACTGAAATCAGTGTGTTTGGATACAACAAGCAAGACCAGAGTCCAGAGACATGACTTGGGTCATTCTCTCAAGCCTCAAGACCCAAGCGTCTGTCGTGTGTGAGGTACCGAAATACTGTGCTTAGCACTGGGGATATGGTGATGACGAAGACTCTTTCACCAATCAAGCCAGTAGAAACTTTCCTTCCCTCAGTCTCTGGTAGTACCCTAAGAAGTCGTCATAGAGAATTTAGAATTTATCATGGTCAACTACATAGAGCAAGTATTTGTGTCCTTTTGCTGCTCTTCAGAGCTATAGGTTTATTGAAGGCAGGGATGGTCTACCATTTATCTTTGTTCCACCAACAAGGCACCAAAAATAATATTTTGTTCACAGTGAAAATAAAGTAAGTACTTGTTGAATTAAACTGTAGACACCAACGTGGTGTGATCATCATCTCTCTTCTGAGTCACTTGCAAACCAGCTCCTAACTGGTTGCTGGACTTGAATTCTTGGCCCATTCAATTCACACCCTTCATGGGGCCAGAGTTCTGCATAAAAGGCAAAAAACTATCATGGCTATTTTTGCCTTACATCCTTCAGTGGACTTACAATAAAATCAAAACTCTTTCACATGATCTATGAAGCCTTGTATTTTCCAATTCTTTCTTTATCTCCAACCACACTCCATGACTCTGTCCCCATTGCTGTCAAAGGTGCAGCCATTCATGTATGTATATGCCTGGGGTGTACATGTTTGTGTGCCTGTGCCTGTGATTTCTTCCTAGTTCCTTCAATTGTCCACCCACTTGCCACCTTCATACACCCTGTTTCTTGTATGAAATGCTTTTTCTATTTTCCCCTTCCACTCTTCCTTCTGGTCTCATCTCAAATGGCCTTTCCATTGACCTCTCCTAATATAAATTATGTCCCTTGTTCTCTCCATTGAACCCAGTCCTTTTGTTCATGGCACTTGGTGCTTTCGTAATTAGAGATTTACCTCTGTGTGTCCTTTTATTTGATGTCTCTCCAGCTCATCAAGATTTGTAATTGATACATGTCATTTTCAAAGACTATATCTTGACTGAATGAATGAATGATATTCTTCATTATCTGTTATTGAAAGACTAATCTTATTTCCACACTGCCTCATTACTAAAACCCAGATACACTTCTCTCCACCTTTTGCAAAGTGCATGCACTATACAGAATTGTAATGAAGAGCAACAATGCTTCTTGCCGCTGCTGTTCTGCATATCACTGCCATAATCCTCCTCCCAGGAGATTCTAAGTCAGAGGTGGGCAAACATTCTATAAAAGGCCAAATGCTATTTTTGACTTTGCTAGCCATTTGGTCTCTGTTGCAGCCACTCAACTCTGCTGTTGCAGGGGGAGATGAGCCATAGACAATATGTTAATAAATGAGCGTAACTGTGTTCCAATAACCTTTATTTCCAAAACAGGAGGCAAACTGATTTGGGCCCGCAAGCTGTAGCTTGCCAACCCCTGTGCTAAGTGATCAGAGTCACTGCTTTAGATAACACCTCTCTATTGCCTGGGTTATTCAAAAGCCTCCTAACTGGCACTTAACTTTTTTCACTTGCACCCCTTCCTTCTGTTCTTATCCCAGAAACCTAGGTGATCTTCTCAATGGTCCCCCATCTTGCTCCACATAAAAGCCAGTGTTTGCGCTGTGATCTACAAGGCTCTGTGTGTCCCTCACCATGATCCCTCTGAGTTTATCAATAATCAATCCTCCCTTCTTTCAGTCCACTCCGGCCACAATGGCCTTAAGCTGTTATCTTTGAACAAATCAGGCAGTTTCCTGCCTCAGTACCTTTGTACGCAAGGTTTCCTCTGCTTCAAATAGTCTTCTCCTGAAGGTAATACAGCCAGCCATCTTCACTTCTCTCTGGACATCTTTCAAAAGTCATGTTTATGGTAAGGTTTTTCTTAGCCACCCTATCTAAAATCTCCCACCCACCACACCTATGACCAACTCCTCTTTCCTGCTTAAGTTTTTCCTGATTCACCAATATATAGCATGTTATGTATAGTGCTTATTTGTTTTATTTACTACTTGTCTTCTTCACTAGAATATAAACCCCATGAGAACAGGGACTTCCTCTGCCTTGATCACTCTTATATCCTTAACGCCTGCAATAGTGCTTAATACATAGTATACCCTCAATGAATATGTACTGAATGAAACAATGAATGAATAAGCAAGCCCTCTTTCCTGATAGGTACCTC